TGAAAAAATTATAAAAACGAAAAAAAAGTAAAAGATAAGAAATCATAATAATAAAAAAAAAAGTGATAAAAAAGTAAAAAATCATAAATTAAAATAAAAGATAAGATAAATAACAATTTTTAAAAGTAAAAAAAATAATTACAAAAATAAATAAGTGATAAAAAAGTTTTCAAAAAAATTAAAACCAACGCTGCTGCCCTTCTGGTTGCCATTCTCCATTGGGGGGATGGGGTGGTTGGCGGGAAGGGCGGCACAATTAGGAACCTGGTCATGGGGCCATCAGAGAGAGTACATCCAGCCCTGGTATTACTAGGAGCTTTGCAGGGAATGTGGGTGACGTGACCTCAAGCTCTGTATAGACTCCTGAGAAAGGCAGTGATCCGAATACAGGAGGATGATGATATCTGGGAAATCTTGTGTGCACAATGACATCATTGGAAACAACAAATGTTTAACTGTATCTGACAGGCATGTGACAGCTGGCTGCAGAGCAAAGGATTTCATATATATATGTCCATGCAGAGCTTGAGGTCAAGTCACACACATCCCCTACAAAGCTCCTAGTATTACTATGTTGAGAATATCATCTAGGGAGAGACACTTGCATGAGGTTCTGCTTGTCTTTCCTATTTTCTCCTACCTCTTTATTGGCCAATGAGACTGCTCATCACATGAAAGGACCAATAGAGTGCTTTGGGAGGTCACTGACTTTTACACAAGTCAAGATTTGCACTGAACTTCAGCTGCCGGCATTTCTGGATCCACTAATCGTATTGACAGGCAGTTTTCAGAAGGTAACCTCTGCATGTGTGTAGTTTGTCAGGCCTGTGACTGGTCTGCTTTAGCAAACTTTGAATGTTCGGACACGTCCGGCGTGATTGCCAATTGGACCTGATGGCACATTCTTCCACTCACCAGTCGCCCGGCCTCGTTGTTATGGAGATCTATCAGGGTTCGTATGTCGCTTTTCCCCTTCTTCCTCTTGGCGTCCATGAACTGGCGCGACTTCTCGTAGCCGTATTCGACATCGTCGCCGCAGCCTCCCCACTCCCAGGCCGAGCCGTCGGCCCCCGGCCCGATGGCCAGATGCGGAGGGGGCCCCCAGTTCCGCGTCACCTCGCATCCGCACTGCATCAGCTCTCCCATGCTGCAGGCCTGGGTCACGGCGTGGATCACTCCGGCGGCGGTGATGGCGTAGACGAACGCCGTCTCTCGGATATCTGCGGGCAACAGATCACAGAAAAGCAAAGAAAAATTAAATTTGTAACATGCCGGAGACATTGGGAGACATTCACCTGCCATTCACCTGACATTCACTCTAATCGTCCTAGGGAAATAGAATATTCTCTACAAGCTCCGAACCAAGCGGGAGCAAATTGCCTTTTCTGGTGTCATGTGATAGCTCCCCTCTCTTGGCCGCGGTCCATACGCATTTCGGGGTTGCTGTGTTCATCTGGCGGAGGCAGTAGCATCTGAACAGCCCAGAATATATAGTGGGGCAACGGTACGCAGGATATGATAAGAAGGTTCCACTCTGTACATTGTGCTGTATATTGTACTGAACGCTGATTCACTCTGAACACTGTGCTGTAGTGTATGTACTCCACACTGCTTCACTGTGCACACTTTGCTGTGCATTATATACAGTCCTCCGTTTGCTCTGTGACTGCAGAAGTGAAGCTAACATGTAGCTACCCCAGACAGTCAAGTGGTTCCATATAGAAGCTACTTTTTGAAAATGCTGGTTGACTGGCTGGTCTGCTGACTCTCTGACTCCAGACAGAACAGGAAGTAAGACAAAATCAGAACTCCCATCATGTCTGGAGCTCATAGTATTGAGCCCAAAGGATCAACATGACCAACAGGCTGCGATTGATACTTTCCACGATACTGGAACTTCTGGTCAGAGGGAGATTTCCCCTGACTGGCAGTGCCGTGAGGGAACATGGAGCTGGCTTCCTGGCCAATCAGGAAGCCGGGTGGCAGGTAATGACTCACTGCCCAGCTTCCTAATTGACCAGGAATCCGCCTCCATGCTGTTTGGCTGGCTCGGTCCTGATTGGCCAGGCTTCGCAGCCAATTAGCATCGAGCCGGCCAAACAGCATTGGGCCGGCTACCCAGCCAATCAGGAAACCAGGTGGCGGATAATGACTCACCTCTCGGCTTCCTGATTGGCCAGGAACTGGCTTGATGCTGATTGGCTGGGAAGCCAGCTTCCCGGCCAATCAACATTGATCAGGCCAAACAGCTTGGAGCCGGCTTCCTGGCCAGTCAGGAAGCCGGGCAGCAAGTAATGTCCAGCTTCCCGGCTTCCTGATTGGACGGGAAGCCGGCTCAATGCTGATTGGCTGGGAAGCTGGCTTCCTGGCCAATCAACATCAAGCCGGCCAAACAGCTGTCTCAAAGCTGATTGGCTGGGAAGCTGGCTTCCCGACCAATTAGCATGGAACCGGTCAAAAAGCATTGAGCCGCCTTCCCGGGCAATCAAGAAGCCGGGCAGCAAGTAATGACACGCTGCCCGTCTTCCTGATTGCCCGGGAAGCCGGCACCATACTAGCGGAAGTACTGGTATCAGTACTCGGTATCGGCGAGTACCGAAACATAAAAATCGTTACTCGTACTCAATAACGAAAAACAGGTATTGGTATATCCCGACTGCAAGGGTTTATATTTTATTTGCCTTCATTGTTTCTTGCACCGGGGCCCCGAGGTTTCTAGTTACGCCTCTGCACCACGTGCATGCAAATATCACTCCGTGGTGTTCAGAAAGTCACCTTTTCTGTTGGCACCTTATGGAGTGTGAATGAGCCCTCGAATACATTGGAAGCTGCCCTACAGCGACTGGCATACACACAGCTCTGCCCGGCATACACACAGCTCTGCCCTATCAGATGCTGGCGGTACACTTTGCGGGCCCCATGCCCTGGCCTCAGTTGAGGTGCCATTGCTAGGTGCGGGGACGGCCCACAGCTTCAGCCCTGTTTGTCTTTCTTGCCGCGGAGAGCCCCTGAAAGGTTCTCAGTCATGCAGGGATCCTTCAGCAGGTGCCCCAGGCAAAGATATAACTCACGAGTCAGACATATAGCGAGGCGTCAGGGACATTCCACACACATCATGCTCACTTAAGAGACTCACTCTGCATGTCCATCAAATTCCACGGTGAAAAGGCTGAAAATCCTCTACAGCGACAGAAAGGGTTTACAGGAAGGGGAGCTGACTTAAGTCTGTGACATGCACAGTCACTGCCAGACAAAGGTGGACCCCCAGGGGCCATGCATGGAGACCCCCATATTTTTGTAGAACCACGTTCAACTGGCAAACCCAAACCGGATGACATTTCGTTTGCAAAAACAACGTATAACATAAAAAATTGCTACTTTTTAAAATATAAAATACTTTTCTTTTTTTCACCATACTTTTGGCAACTCCTGCAGCCACTTCCTGTCTACATGCACTCGCTCCTGCATCAGCTGCACATCATTGCTCTGGACTGGTTTCCTGAGGGTGACAACACTAGACCATGGCTGCGCAATGTGAGTCTGCATGGCCGCTTGTAGTCTCCACCAGAGGTACATGTGACCAGGTGACAATAGAGCGTTGTCTACCGATTCCAAGAGGGGCCTGAACATGAGCCTTCAGGATCAACAGGTACTATTTTAGTTAAAGGAGAACTATGGGGTTAAGGCTTTTCCCCATAGTTCTCCTTAGGGTAATGGGAGGGCACAAACTAGCATCCTCCTGTCACCCTAGGCTCAGTATACCGCAAGCTGTAGCTCGCGGTATACTGAGACGCCGCAGCTGAAGCGGATCCTGACAATTGTGCCGGGATCCGCCCAGCTGCGTGACTGACAGCTGGCTCTGCCTATCTAGAGGCTAGTCAGCGCTGGCGGATCAGTGACAGTAAACTCAGGAGTTTTTTAATGATTTTAATGAAAACTGCTTAAAGTCAGGGGCGTCCCAAGGCTGGGTGTCACCCGCAGCGGTTACCGGGTCACCGCTGCATGCGCGGCAATCTTATTGATAGGTGCCGGTGGCCATCTTGCTCATGGACGCCGGCAGAGAGAGGAGGGGACAGTCAACTGAGGGCTTACAATCTAAATCTGCAGCTTTAAAGGAGAACTATGAGGTGAGTGTTTTTCACTGACCTCATAGTTCTAGCCGACCTGTGACAATGAGGCTGTCACAGGTCGGTTCAGTAGATCGGGAGGTGAGAGAACACATACCGGCGTTCGCTCACTTCTCGATCCTGTCACAGCTCTCTGCCGTGACAGGGGAGGGGCTGGATACCCCCCGCTCCCATCCTCCAGCGCTGACTGGCGGAACGGATGGGGAAGGGGGGCTTTTACAGCTGGCTCTGCCTCTAGATAGGCAGAGCCAGCTGTCACTCACGCAGCTGGGCGGATCTCAACATCGATGTCGGGATCCGCTCCGGCATCTCAGTATACCGCGAGCTGTAGCTCGCGGTATACTGAGCTTAGGGTGACGGGAGGACACAAACTAGCGTTACCCTAAGGAGAACTATGGGGAAAAGCCCTGACCCCATAGTTCTCCTTTAACTCTTAAAAATACATTCAAGTACCATAACTAGTAACTACAATGTATCTTATTGGTGTATAACTCGGCTGTAGATCCTCCAATCATCTCTGAATTGGTGCTGACACTGTCCTTCCTTCTGGAGGGGAGTTACTTTTGTTCCCCATGATCCCTGTGTGTGTTGTAAAGTAGTCACCGTTCCAAGCTCGCTCCCGGGATGGACAACAATCTCATGTTTAGTTTACTCATTTGGACTGAGATTGTAGTAAATCCTGGTGATCCTGCAATAAGAATTGCTCAGGCACTTCCTGTTATAGGGTGACGACTGACTCATGCATCTTGAGAATCGAGTGGGCTAACTCAAGCAAAAGGGAAGATTATACAACTGTAGATGATAGAAAGATAGATAGATAGATAGATAGATAGATAGATAGATAGATAGATAGATAGATAGATAGTATCACAGTCCATTACATCTACAGAAGCATTCCTCCATGTTGCTGTTCTCGTTCTGTCCATCAGTTTTAATAATCACCGCGTCTCCCCTTGTCACCGTATAAATGACATAATTTAGCCGTCGCGGGACGGAAGCCATCTATGCTCAGTAGAGCAATCTTTCCTGTCTCCTGGTGTACGGGGAGCCTTTCCGCTGTACCACGCACCTTCGCTTTGTCATCCAAATCAATTACTACCTTTGCCAAAACCATTTAGTAGATGCAGCTAAAAATATCCCAAATTATTGCTTCTGCAGGGAGCAGCGGAGGAAGCGGCAGCTTGAAAAGCGAGTGGTTTCCCTCCATTACGGAGCTATTAAGCTATTTAAATGCCATAGTAAAAGCCGTGTTATCCAAAACTCCAGCGTCAGGGTAACCTGGGAGTCTGATGAGTACATGAACCCGGGGCCCTCATTAAAGGGGCACTATCATATAACTAGCTGTACGTAGCTTCCTGTAAACATCACAGCACCCTGCCTCATCACTCCGCTCAAGAGCCCTCAGCACTGATGCAAAAAGTGGGCAGGCTCTTGGGAGGAGTTATGCAAATATAAAATATGAGCAGGTGTCATTGTGGAGGAGTGGGTGTTCTAATGCAGGCAGCATTTACATGCAGACCACCCTAGCTAATGCCATGGTGATGCTGAGCCTCCATGATTGAAAGAACTGAAAGCCAATGAAGGAAAGGGGCGGGCCAAGGACAGTCAGGCTGGAGAGTAAAGAGTTAGATGATGCTGGACATACTCGGCCAGGAAATTAAGTGGGCTCTGTCTGACTTGCTGCAGGCTCTATGCTTCTTCTGTGAGAGGTAATAAATACCTGGAAGTGTTACATTGGCACATAACCTGATGCTTCACTTAACATAAAAAATTATACTTGCTGGTTCTAATCAAACCAGTGATAGATAGATAGATGGATGGATGGATGGATGGATGGATGGATGGATGGATGGATAGATAGATAAGATAGTTCCGGGTGGGTGTCCTGTACATGGTGATGGAGCTCGGGGTGGTCTTCCTCCTTGGAATAAGTGCTTCAGAAGCCTTTAAGGGTTTCACTTATTTTGTGTTTGAAATGCTCTAATTGCTCCAAGTTCAGAAGTCAATCATTAGTGGCGATGGGAGTTTACAGATCAGATGGCCATAAATCCCGAAGGAGTGTTTTTTGATGCCTCAGTGATGGCTAAATGGCACTTAGACCCATTAGGAGACGGTCGGTCGGGATAGGGAAGCTCCAATGAATAGCTCCCAGGGAATTCTGGGACAAAGAAAGATTGGAGGACACAAATCCGGAGCACCGGAGGTTCTGATCGGCTCACTTGTAGCTCGTCCTAGAAGGTTGGGGGGGGATACACCACGCGGCAGACAAGAAAACATTATTTTTCTTTATAAAACCCACACATTGTCTCGGAGCGTTCATAATGACTTCATTACACACCAGGGGAACATGTCTAAGCAATAAAGCCGGGGACTTATGTAAAATGGAGCAATAATCTGATTTGTGCCTGCAGGGGAGAGAGAGCGCGGCATGCAAAGTGACTTCTACCCCTCCAACAACAAGCTCAGAGAATATCCCCAGATACCCCGCAGCAAGCTGCGTGCTGTGTGTACAGCTGCCTGCGCAGACAAACAAGTGCCTGGTGGTCAGCAGACCTACAATTTCCCATCCGCGATGGCCGTGTTCACTTCAATGGTGCAGCTCAGGGACAAGGGACAAGGTCCTCTGGGCACTCAAGGTGAAGATGCCAA